TATTCATTTCTCTAAGATAAATGCCCAGAAGTACAACTGCTCTGTCACATAGTAGTTACATGAATAGTTTATTAAAAAAAAAAAAAAAATGGCCACACTGTTTTCCAGAGTGGTCATACTATTTTATATCCTCAATAGCAATATGAGTAATCCAGTTTCTCTGCATTCTTGCCAGCATTTAATGCAGTATTTTTTATTTTAGCCATTCTGACAGGTGTGTGGTAATATCTCATTGTGGTTTTAATTTGTATTTCCCTAAAGGCTAAGGACGTCGAACATCTTTCATGTACTTATTTGCTTTTAGCCTCTTCAATGAAATGTCTCTTTGTGTCTTTAGCCTTTTCCTGATTTTTTTTTTTTCTTTTACCATTGAGTTTTAAAAGTTCTTTGTATATTCTAGATATTAGTCCTTTGTTGGATATGTGGCTTGCACATACTTTCTCATAAGCTGTAGCTTGTCTTTTTATCTTAATAGGGTCTTTCACAGATCAAACATTTCTAATTTTGATGAATCCAATATAACAACTTTTCCCTATTCTGGATATGCTTTTGGTGTCAAGCCTAAGACCAAGACTAGATCCCAAAGACTTTTCCCTATTTTTTCCTAAAAGCTTTACATTTAAGTTCATGATCCATTATGAGTTAATTCTTATATGAGGTGTGGGACTTAAGTTGAGCTCTTTTTTTTTTTTTTGGCCTAGGGCTGTTCACTTGCTCTAGCACCATTTGTTGAAAGGCTATTTTTCCTCCACTGAACTGAACTTGAACCTTTCCCCAAACCCAGTTTGGCATATCTGTGAGTTTATTTCTGGGTTTCTATTTGGGTCCATTATCTATATGTCTATCCCTCCACCAATACCATAGTCTTGATTATGACTACTGTACCTATATAATAAACTTGAAATCAGACAGATTCCTCCCACTTTAATCTCCTTCTTCAGAACTGTTTTAGCTATTTTATATATTATACATATATTTTAGAATAATCTTATCCATATCTACAAGAAATCTTACTGGGATTTTGACTGGAATTGGACTAAATCTGTCTATTACTTTGGGTAGTACTGACATCTTTACTATGTTTAGTTTTCTAATCCATGAACATAGTCTTTCCATTTATTAAATCTTTGGTTTCTTTCATCAGTGTTTTTTTTTTTTTTTTTTTAGTTTTCAGCACATAAGTTCTGCATATGTTTTTTCAGATTTACACCTAAGTATTTAATTTTTTTGAGCAATTACAAATGGTATGTGTTTTTAATTTTGATGTCTATATGTTCATTGTAATACACAGAAATACAACTTATTTTGTATGTTTGTCTTGTCTTCTGCAATTCTGCTGATCAAATTAGTAAGTTTTAGTAGATTTTTTTTTCATAGATTCCTTGGGATTTTCGCCATAACCAATCAAGTGATCTGCAAACAGGAACAGTTTTGTTTCTTATATTTTAATCTATGTGCCTTTCTTCTTCTGTTTTTTTGGTTGTATTATTGCACTGGCTAGAACTTCTAGCACTATGTTGATTTAGAAGAATGAAAGCAGACATCTTTAGGAAGAAAGCATTCAGTCTTTTACCATTAAGTATAATGTTAGCTGTAGGTGTTTTGTAGATGCTCTATAGAAACAAGCTGAAGAAGCTCTCTTCTATTCCATTTTTTTCTAGAATTTTTTTTTTTTTTTTAAATCATGAATGGGTGCTGAGTTTTCCCAAATGCTGTTTTTTTTACTGATTGACTGGACCATGTGATTTTTCAGATTGGGTAATTCCAATAGTTTTATCCCTTAGTTCACTGATTGCTTCCTCTTTTCTCTCCATTCTGCTGTTGAGCCCATCTACTAAATATTTTATTGTGGTTACTGTGTTTTTCAGTTCTGAAACTTCATGTGGTTCTTCTTTACATCTTCTATTTCTTTGCTGATACTTTCTATTTCTTTGCTAGGACCTGACATTTTTTGTTTCAAGCATGTTCATAACTGCTATTTATGATGGCTTTAATATCCTTGCCAGATAATTCTAACATCTCTGTCATCTTAAGTGTTGCCATCTATTAATTGTCTTTTTCACTGAAGTTGAGATTTTCCTGGTTCTTAGTATGATAAGTTATTTTGACTGAAACCTGAGTGTTTTGGATACTATGTCATGAGGCTCTGGCTATTATTTAAACCTGTTTAGCTGGCTTTTTGACCAGCAGAGGAAAGGAAGGGCACTACCTCATTACTTCCAGGTGGTGCTGAAGTCCAAGTTCCCCACCGGTCTTCCACTGGATACTCCTGGTCAGGGCTAGGAGTTCTGGCTCCCCAACAAGCCTCTGCCAGGCCCCTGGTAGGCGGGGTAGAGTGCTACTTTACTACTTCCTCTGTTGCTTCCACTGACACCATGGGAAGCAGTGAGCCTGAATACTGCTGGGCAGTGGTGAAAGTCCTGACTCTTCACTAGGCCTCTTCTGACGTGATTCCAATGGCAAGCGGGAGAGGAGCCTAGTTACTGACAAGTGAGAGTGGAGGACCAGGTTCTCCATGTGGTCCCCACTGACACTGCAGAAAAAAGAGAACTTTTTACTGTCAGGTGGGGATGAAAGTCTCAGTTCCTGACTCAGCCTTCTCTGATAACACCCTGACAGAGATTGGCATGCCTTTTTATAGTCTGACAAAGGTGCAACTCTACGCTCCCTACTTGGCTTTTGTAAGTGTGGGTTGTGTTGTTGTTGTTGTGTGCCATCGAGTCAGCCCTGACTCATAGCGACCCCTTCTTGGGTTTCCGAGGCAGTATCACTACGGAAGTAGGATTGCCCAACCTTCCTTCCGAGGAGTGGCTGGTGGGTTTGAACCGCCAGCCTTCTGGTTAGCATTCAAGTGCTTTAGCCACTATGCTACCAGAGCTCCTAAGTGTGGGTAGGGTCAGTTATTTTCTTGGCATTTGGCTGTCATGAAGCACAATATATTTTATCTCACAGACATGCCTCTGTAACTACCGTTCCCTTTGCTGAGAATGACCTTCACCGTTCAGTCCACTTTTTTTCTTATCTTATTCTAACACAGGTCAAAAGGTGTCCTCTTCTGGGAAGGTCTGATTTCCTCCCTTAGGCTGAGGTAGCTGATCATAAGCAAGTTCCCACAGCCCTTGTAGACACTATTCCTATGATACCGCTACTGTATTACAATCCTAAATTAAGAATCAGGGATGCCACTTTTAATTGATGCAATCCTAGAACCTATTACTGTGTCCTGATAAATGTTATTTTTTTTTAAATTAAAAAAAAATATTAACGTGCCACTGTTCTATAAACTAAAACTTATTGTACATTGATCTCGCTTAAAGAAATTTCTGACTTACATGAAAGGCAAACTGGGGGTGTTTATTCACCTTCTATAAAAGTTCATTCTGGATTTCTTTTCAATTTGAAGTTTACTTGGTTATTTACTCAAGCATTTGATGATACTCAAGCATTTGTTGTGGCACTGGTAGTAGGATAAAAAGCAAACAAGATGGCCTCTTCCCTTGAAAAATAACTTTCTATAAGGAACAAAGGAATAATTGTATACATGTATAAGAATAAGCTCAGATAATAATCCAGAGAAATATAATGCTTCATATTGTTCACTCAGTTTGTTTTTTTTTTTAAGTTTGGAGGAAGAGATAAGAGAGACTTTCTATTTTTTCATTTCTGTTCTATCTGAATTTTTCAAAATAAGCTCTATCACTTTTCTAAAAAGGAAAAAAGGACTAAAATTACATCTTTAAAAAGAAACTATTATACTGAATACAATAAGCCTGCCTTGGTTCATTTAAATTAAGATGGGCTTTACAGAAGAAGAGCTATAGCTCCAAAATATATCTCAAAGGAAGTGATAGCAGTCTCTTTGGACCGTTAAAAGTTCAGGATCAAATTTTCATCTTCACTTCTAATATCCTTACCCCTGGCCGTACAAATTCTTAATTTACTTAGTAAAATTGAAGTATACATTTTGTCCCATGGCTGCTCTTGTGTTGAGACAGCAGGTATGTTGCACTCTGTCCATTCTACTGTTATTGACATTTCTTATGTTGGATTTCAGCAAGGATACTCAATAATCTTGTTGGTTTATGGCCATCAAGTTACAACTGTCTCTCCTCCTCCAGAGCAAAGAAGAATGAAGAAAACCAAAGATGCAAGGAAACAATTAGTCCAAGGGACTAGTGGACCATGCAAACCTCAGTCTACATGATCATGAGACCAGAAGAACTAGATGGTGCCCAGCTACCACTATCAACCACTCTGAAAGGGATCAGTGCAAGAGATCCTGGGTAGAGTGGTAGAAAAATGTGCAACAAAACTCAAAATAATAACAAAGACCAGGTTTCCTGGGCTGAGAAAACCTGGTGAAACCCCCAAGAGTAACCCCTTAGTTACTCTTCAGGTCTGGAAATGAACTCACTCCTGTGGCTTCAGGCCAAACAATAGACAGGCATATAGGTTGAACATTTACACTAGGTAGATATGCCTTGGAAACCCAAGGAGGGGTCGCTGTGAATCAGGTGCGACTCAACAGCACATAACAATAATAACAAGATATACTCCTTAGAACAATCAATCATGGGAAATCAGAAGGGTAGTATTTGCACAAGGAGACAGCTCAATGGGCAGGAATGGACAGGAAAGACAAAGAGAAGAGGTAACTATAGGGAGGAAATGGGAAGAGAGATGTGATGTTGTGCGGATTGCAGTCAATGTCATGAAACAAAATGTGTATTAACTGCTGTATGGAAAATGAATTTGCTCAGTAAACTTTTACCCAAATCACACACACAAAAAACCCCTGCAATTGTTGTCATAAAACAAAATGTGTATGAACTGTGAAATGGAAAACAAATCTGCTCTGTAAAATTTCACCCAAATCACAATAAAAAGTTTAATATAAAAATAAAATAATCTTGTTGCTTTAGCTGGTGTCTAACAAACTGATGTCACCATGTTACTCTGCAGAACTGAGAGAAGACTGTTTTTTTCCAAAAAGAATCTACCTTTTTATCGTAGTCACGGTCCCACATGTCATTTATAGTACATCCTGCTCCACGCATCAGAACAGCTCCAGTCCCAAAGAGGGCTAACATATAAAAGTCTGGAAAACAACCTGGTTCAGCTGCCAGGCTGATGCTCCAGGTACATGGCAGATAGAGCAGCCAGGTTCCTATGCAAAAATAAAAAGTCAAGAAAGGTACAAATTCAAGTTACTGTCTTCATTTGTTTAAATGCCACATCTAAAGAAAGTAAAAAACCCTATAAGCAAAATAAAAGAGACATGACAAACTGAGAATATAAATTTGCAATTCATATCACAAAGGGCTACTCTTCCTAATATGGAAATCGAGATGATAAAATCAACAATCCAATAAAATACTGGACAAAAAATACACAGAGAGTTCACAGAAAACAAAATATATGTAAATGTTATATATATGAAAAGGTCTTTACCTCTGAGAAACATATGTGAAAACTACATTGAGATAATATTTTTTTTAACCTATCAGATTGGCAAAACCTGAAGGCCGGATGATACCCCCTAGGAGCTGAGCACTCTCAGGAATTTCTGATGGGTTTGCAGAATGGTCCAAATCATGGGTGACAATTTGAAATGTTTTTACCCAAATGACATATGCACATACTTATTGAGTCAGCAGTTCTTCTTTAGAATTTACTTAATAATGATAACAACATATACATCTATTGGCCATTTTTACTAGCAAAAGAATGGAAACATTCTAAATATATAACAATAGGCATGTTCAAATAAATTATGGTATATTCATGTAGTCAAACATAATATAGCCATTAAAAATTAGGCAACTCTTTATGTGTGTATATTGATATGGAGTGATCTGTAAGGTACATTGTTAAATTAAAAAAGCAAATGATAAAACAGCCTGTATAACAGCTACTATTTGTGTTGAGAATTTATACATGTACATTAAAAATACATATATTCAAATGTTAACATGTTCATAGACCATGTCAGAAAGGACAACATAATCATCTGTAAATGCAGTGAAACAAAAATTACATTCCCGATTTAGTGGAAAGAGTGCCATCTGCTGAAACTTCTTGAAATAATGTAGGCAGACTGCTCTCTATTTGAGAGTTGCATTCCTCTCTCAACAATGATGAAATTTACTTTCATTTATAAAGGTAATAATAACTTCAGTGAACATAAAATTACCCCACAAAAGAAGAAATTAAACACAGATATATCAAATCTCAAATTTTACTCCTATTGACATAGTTCCTGGCATATGGCAAGGGCTCAAATAATGCTTGCTGAATGAATTTCAACACAGAACTAGAAATAAGTTGTTTGAAAATCCTGCAGTTATTACCTTATTTAATATCAAATAATGCAGACTGGCATCTTCTAAACATAACTACTAACATGATCTTCTCCAGTTCCCACTTTTGAAGTAATGTTGTTGTTGTTGTTGTTTGCCGTCGAGTCGGCCCCGACTCATAGCGACCCCTCCTTGCGTTTCCGAGGCAGTATCACTACGGAAGTAGGAATGCCCAACCTTCCAACATTTTTGAAAATTTATTATATGCCAAGCACTGTTCTAAGCATTTAACATATATTAATACCAATGTCCATAGTGATACTGCCTCGGAAACCCAAGGAGGGGTCGCTATGAGTCGGGTCTGACTTAACGGCACGTAACAACAACAACGATGGTTAGGCAGCAGTCAAGATATATCGGTCAACATATTGCACTGGGAAAATATGCTGTAAAAGACCTCTTTAAAGTGTTGAAGAGCAAACATGTCTCCTTGAAGACTAAGGTGCGCCTAACCCAAGCCATGACATTTTCAATAGTCTCATATGCATGTGAGAGCTGGACAACGAAAAAGTAAAACCAAAAAAGAGTTGATGCTTTTGAGTTGTGTTGGCTAAAAGAACTAACAAATCGGTCCTGGAAGAAGTACAGCCAGAATGTTCCTTGGAAGCAAGAATGGCCAGACTTTATCTCACCTACTTTGGTCAGGTTGTCAGAATGGCTCATTTCCTGGAGAAGGGTATCATGCTTGGTAAAGTGGAGGGTTAATGAAAGAGGGGAAGGCCCTCAACGAGAGGAAGTGACACAGTGGCTGCAACAATGGGCTCAGGTATAGCAAGGATTGTGAGGCTGGCACAGGATCAGGCAGTGTTTCCTTCTGTTGTACATAGGGTTGCTAGGAGTCAGAGCTGATTCAAAGGCACCTAACAACAATGATTTTTTTATGACAACCCTAAGAAATCAGTATTATTAAGATCTTCACTTTATAAATGAGAAATTAAGGCCCAAAGAGTAACTTAACCAAGGTCCCCCAAGTGGGTAATGAAGATTCAAACCCAAGGGGGTCTGGCTCCGGTTTTATTCACAACTCCTTTGTAGCCTCTTGTTATGTGGTGAGATCCCTGGGTGGCACAAAGAGTCTGGGCTCAACTACTAACCTCAAGGTTGATGGTTTAGACCCACCCAGTGGTATCACAAAAGGCCTGGTGATCTGCTTCCGTAAAGATTATAGCCAAAAATGTATAGTAGAACCATATAGAGCATTTCTACCCTAACACATAGGTTTGCCATCAGTAACAGTTGATTCAATGGCAATGGATTTATGGGTATGTGAAGAGGTGGCCTGGTCCCTATGGTAGATGACAGAGGTTTAATTGTGGAATTGAGAATAATGACAGCTGTTGATCTGTCTTGAACTCCTGTAAGTCTATACTTTTTGATGCAGACTCCAAGGAAAGAATTATAGCCAGGCTTCAGATTAGAATTGAGCCTGGAAATTTATGCCCACCAACCTGTATCTGGCCCCAAAATGCAAGAGGTCATCCACAGCCCAACCAATGATGGCGGAGTTGTGCCTATCAACTAATTTGCTTTAAACGGTGATTGCTGTAACTCTTGGTGTTTAGATATCAAATAGGTAGTGCATGGACCTAGAATACAAAACAAGGCCTAACTTGGAATCGTGGTTGGGCAAAAGTGGAGTAAATGTGTTTAGGCATTTGAATATATTTGCATGCACCAAAACCAAACCCACTACCATTGAGTAGATTTTGACTCATATCAACACTTTAGGATAGAGTAGATCTGCCCTATAGAGTTTCTAAGGCTGTAAATCTTTAGGGAAGCACACGCCCTCATCTTTCTCCCACAGAGCAGCAAATGGGTTCGAACCACTGATCTTTTGGGTTAGAAGCCAAATACTTTAAACACTACACCACCAGAACTCCTTAATGTAATTATTTAGATTAGAGAGGCGGGGCAAGATGGCAGACTAGGCAGAAGGACTGCACAGACCCTCTTCAACAAAGAAAAGGGAAACCAATTAACACAGACACAGAAGATAATCTTGGATTCCTGAG